AACCCAGAAGCTCTAGATCATTGAGCCGGCTAGCATCCAATGGTGTTAATGTCTAACTTCAAGTAATCCATATCCATCATTGTCATCAGTGAGTTACTATGTCACAACAGACCCGGTTGAACTCCACTCGTCACTGTTTCTCACTATAACTCCAGGAAATACCTCTTGAAGCCAGTCATTATAGAACATGTGATGATTAAAATCAGAAGGGGTTTTTGTGAATATTACAGTAATTTCAATAGTTGAGATCATGATATTCTAGATTTTAACATCCAGTAACTCATTTTATTTATGCCTCAAAGTAAATATGTGTGTATCATTAGAATTTACATATGTTCATCATTAACAATTAAACTCGACATAAATCTGTTTGTTATTGAGATCGCAAACTGAGTTAAGTTAGACAACCACATACTCTAATGATTAAAATCAGATAGAGGTTTTGTAGAGATCGCAGTAATTTATGATTGAATTCATGAGTCATGGTATACTTGGAAGCACTAGACGGTGGCTCAATTTCGTGGATTGATTGAAGTTAGACATTAACACTATTGCATGCCGGCAAGTTCAGTTGTCTAGAGGTTAAGCGTTTGTGCACGAGACCGATAGGTCTTAGGTTCGAATCTCGCGATGCGGCGTGATCGTGGATGTGCACTACTGGGTAGTCTGACAACAGGACGAAACAGCCATTTAAAGTTTCCAGGTTTTCCATGATGGTCTAGCTTTAATTGACTTAGACATTTGAAAATTGATGAGAAAAGTTGCGTATGAGATTTGAAGTTTGTTTTGTTCTTTGTTGTTTAATGGGTAAAAATGAACAAATGGACAATTTTGAAAGTAACTTTCAAGTAAGCAGAGATTACATACACAATGTGCAAATCATATTTATCATTTAACATGATTTTTATTAAAAATAATAATTTACTATGGTATTTAGATGGTGGTAGTCAACAGGAAACCCTGGTTTCGTGCTACTTGGCACTCGTCAGTAAGGTGTACCTGTAATCTTGAGGGAACTGGTGCTCCCTGGAGGATTCGATCTGCACTAATAAGGACCAGAAACTTATGACATTGATCACCACCCAGTGATCAATCAATTGTGAATTTACTATGGTACTTGTAGGTTGATAACTGTTTATTTCTAATTATAGAAATTTGATTTGACTTTTGGTGAGCGTTTGATTCAGTGAAACTTAAAGTTTACATTGTTTGTTTATTTCTAACATGAAGTTTGATAATATGTCTGCTATTCATTAATTGTCAAACTGTTGACCTATTCATGACTGTAGTACCCTTTAATGTAAAATTTTTTTAGAACACGTACTCTCCTCTTTATTCTTCTAATATTTGTGCACATATTGTGTAATTGAATAATTTGGTTGGAGGTAATGTGGAAATTATACTTGTCGATTTTTGTCTGTTTTACGGAACAGTTCATTTCATACAATGAGGTGAGCTTTCTAACTTGATAATCAATCTTCAAGCTAACACTCATTTTATAATTTGTTATTATTATTATTATTACCTGTCAGATGCATCAAATAATGATCAGAAACCTAATACAATTATGATAGATGCTGCTGAATCTAATGATCCATCATCTACTAATGAGGTTTTCAATAAATTTGATGTAAATAACTCTGATGACTTCATATCAAGTTTTGTTGTTCTTCACCATCCAGTCAGTTCTAGCAGATTCTCTATTCAATACGGAAAATAAAAATAGAGTCACTTTAAATGTAACTTGGGAATATGATGATCCAATATTATTTTGTGGGGGAGGATAACCTCGGAAAATTTAAAATCCGGATATCAACTCTGGATCTTCAAAAAAGAGGTGTTATATCCCGATGAGAAGAATGAATGGTAACTTTTGTAATCTCTTTATGGACTTATAATATACACATATTTTTATCGTATAATTGATAAGTAACTAAACTATTCATATTGGTGTTCCTCCTTTATTTTGACCTATGAATTATCATTATGTGATTTACCATTCTAGATTTATGACCTGTCTATCAATTATTACCTCTCACATTCACAGCCACTTTTGACTCAATATTGTTTGCTATTTTGTGGTACGATGTAGTCTGGTTGGTTTGTATATAAACCTAGTATGTTTGAAATACATGATTCATATCGCAGATACCGAGATTGTTGTTTTGGACTTAACAGGCTGGGCTAGACAAGAAACAGGATCGAAAGGACTCTAGGCTGCTTGTACGTGTTTTATGCGTCATTGGTTCGATCGATAATTCATTGTTCTTTAATTAGCGGTATCGTTACGTTATACATTAATAGGACACAGGGCACAAGTTATAGCATTACCATTATCGCTTTTTAAGCTTAGGTGTAAGAAACAAGACTTTCCAACTGATTTATACTAAGTGCGTTCATTTGTTTTAGCATACTTATCGATGAATTTCGATCGATATCCATTTTCGCGTAGATATTTTTTTAACGACAGCAAATTCTTAGTCTTTCCTTCTAAAAAGATTTATGAGTACGGTCAGAAATGGTCAACACAATGCCTCTTTTACAACTGATTGGACAGAAGCTGCTATAGTTTATATAAACTCTACTCTGTGTACTTTCACAATGGATATATTTTTGCAGTTTCCCTCCTATATTTTGTTGAATTTCACATCTAAGAAATGGGATTTTTCTTCGGCATCGTGCTCCATACTAAATTTTATTTCATTATGTACTTCTTTGAATAGATTAAGTAATCATGTAGGATGCTTCAAACTATTACAACACTATATGTAAGGCAGAATAATGTTCCATTGATTGATTGTTTAAACTAATCTGTTACAAGTTCCACATACGTATATCAGGTAGCATTGAACTTAGGAGATTATAGCAATTACATGAATTCAGGGTATATCACATCATTATACTGGAATTGTACATCTTTAGAGGACAGGAGCTATTCGGATTATTTACGCGGTAAAGAAAGAAGGTTAAGATTTCAGTATATGGTTTTTATGGATTCTTGCAAACGGAGCTTTGTAAACAAAAAAAAAACATAAGACGTCAACTAACACAATAAATCTATCAGAAACATTTAAGCTTCTCCATTTTTGTGTTAATTCAAATCTATACTTCAGACTGTGAGATCTTAGTGTGGCGTTTGTATGACCTAATTATTTCTTGGTACTTGATGACTGCCTGATTTCGAATTCTAAATACAATACGTTCGGGTTCGCTCACCTTGTTCTGTCTACTTAAATTGCGCTATTTCGAGTATTCCTAGTTTGTATAATAATTCATATACTTCTAATCATCACATTGGCATCGCTAGAGGGTCTGTGATGGGAGTTGGACATTCAAATTTTGGTGCATTTTAGGATTATATGGAAAGGTTCGAAATCTAAACTATGATCAGTGAAGATGTTAATATTGTGGCTGATTTCCTTACATTCATTGGAAAAGCACACAGCTTATTAAAAACTTTGGCATTTCCAGAAAAGCTTATTTCACTTCTTTATGCAACTCTCAGGGAGCTATTGCTAGATCATGTAAAGTACAAAAATTTCGGGAAATGATTCCTCAGGACATCGAAAATTCTACTACATTACTACGTCATCCCAATCCAATACGTACTCAAAGTTATGCAGGTAATTCATTGAGTTGCGAAGCAGGTCAGAAAGAAGAGCAAACGTTTGGTGAATATTTGTTCTGTGACAAGTTTCATCCATTTAATTCATGTGTATTTCGTAATGCTAAATGTTTTAAATGTGGTATGATTGGACACATTCAGTCAACTTGTAATACTATTTATTTCATTGCGAATTATGCTAAAATTTGTAATTCAGGTCCTCTTACGCTGAGTGATTCCAATGATCATTTATCTTCATCGACGATTTCGACCCTGGAATTGAACCCCGCGAAGCGGGATTGTGCAAGTAAACTACTGACGAGTCCCATACTAGGACGAAACGGCCGTCCAATGTTTCCAGATTTTTCATGGTGGCCTGGCTTCAAGTGACTCATCATGTCAACTATTAAAATTACTATAATATCCACAAAAACCCATTCTGAAATTGTTTATACTTATTTGAATTTATTAAAGTAAACATCAGTCACCATAATGACTGTTTATCTATTTAGGGCAAGAAAAAATACGACAACAGAAGAAATATTTTGCTGATATAATTAAGGCGTATATCATCGAAGGTTCTGAGATTGTTTCCAAATGTGATCTAGAGCTTTAAAAGATATTTATCGTAATCTTCATCAGAAAGTAAGATAAATTAAATAGCCTATTCGCTATCAGCACCATCGATTCATATTCTTGTTTATTTATTTATTACAAGTGTTTATTAACGGTTGTCTACGCAAAATACTTTGGATTAGTTGGCCAGACACTATCAGAAACAATTTACTGTGGGAGAGAACAAACCAGATTCCAGTGGAGGAAGAAATCAAGAAAAAGCACTGGGAGTATATAGGGCACACATTGAGGAAAGCACCCAACTGCGTCACAAGACAAGCCCTCACATGGAATCCTCAAGGCCAAAGGAAAAGAGGAAGACGAAAGAACACATTACGCCGAGAAATGGAAATAGACATGAGAAAAAATGAACAAGAATTGGATGGAACTAGAAAAGAAGGCTCAGGACAGAGTGGGTTGGAGAATGTTGGTCGGTTGGCGGATGCTTCATTGAGAGTAATAGGAGTAAGTAATTAAGTATTACAAAAGTATTCATTGTAGTAAAACCATATTTATTTATTATTTTATTAACAAAAAAATATATAAAAAAACACACAAGTATAAGATGTAGTAACCATGTAGTAACCAGAACATAATATTCCCATAGATTTATACAAGGAATATATACCTTGAGAGTAAACAATGGGGGGGGCGAAGATATGATCCATTAAGAAATACAAAAAAAAAAATAATAATTCATGATTGTCAAGACAAGAGAAAAGTATCATAATTATGAATTAAATATAGATTGATATGAGGAGAAGAAGAACAAATAAGAAAGTTAATTAATCATAGAATTTGTAGATGAATTATAAGAAGAAGAAGAAGAAGAAGAAGAAGAAGAAGAAGAAGTAAAGAAATGAATTAATGAATAACTTAAATAATTTGTCCTATTACATAATTTCTCTTTTGATGATGAATAAACAAAATGTATTAATATTAAATTACGTAAATGTAAATAGAAATTGAGAAAACAAAATAATGCATCTATAATTAAACCAATTAATTTATACCATTCATATATCCAATATGAACAAATACATTGATACATAATACTAAATAATAAAAGACACATTAATATACTACTTATATATTTTGGATTATTGAATAGAAACTAGAGAAAAACAAAAAACAAAACAAAAACAAGGGGTACATGTAAAGGTAAGCAGTGATTACTAGTTAAAATATGACATAATCATTTTGAACAAATCTATTTGATAATTCCTTTTAAATTAACACCATAAACCGATTGATGTTAGATCATCATTACAAATCTGGAAACATGGGACTCTTCTTTGACAGTGCACATCCACGATCCCGCCGCCTCACGTGATTCAAACCCAGGACCTATAGGTTTTGTGCGCGAATACTAATGAGCCGGCAGTGCTTCCAGGGTTTTCAATAATGGTCTAACATTAATCAGTTCATGATCTTAATCAAAAATTTAATGATCTCCAAAATCCTAATACTGACAATTCTTTTAAATTACTGAATGACAATATAAAAAACCATTTAGAAATATTGTACAACTATACTATTCTCATTTAAGGCTTATTGATAATAAGCATCCACGATGAAATATAAGAACCAATACAGAATATTTACGCACAACTCAATCGATAAATCAGAGTACAATGATTCATATATTTGAAAGTTAGTCAAACCATAATATAATGCAAAATGTATTATGGCTCTTGAGTCGCTCAAGTTGTTCAGTGAATGGTAACCTATGTCATACTAATCGAAATTCACTTAGATTGATATCATATTTCCACTTGTTTAAGTAACACATCATTTGGATATGTTAGATAGAGTCGTTTACAATAGCTTGATGGTAATATCTTGTGTGAGAATTCTTAAACATTTTACTGATAAGTATAAACAAACAGAATAGCTATTTCCATAAGCCACTTTGTAAATTAAGCTTAACATCTGGGCAGTAATTTTATTGCTACTTTCATCATTGACACTTAGAAATCAGACATAACTGGACAGATACTGTGTCTAGTTCTCAGTATTTTTTTTTGACACTAACTTAACTCAAAGGTCGAAATTTACAAGAACAATTTTTCAGAATTCAACGTGAAATATAATGTTGTTCGAACGGTTAATCAATTTGTTGACTAGATTATCAAAACTGCTACTATACTACAACACTCGATAGCTTAAATGTTAGGTAGATTTAATCAATAGGTATACAATACAACAGTAAATGAATATTAAGAAAGTCGATATATCTAAGTTTACTGAAACCAACGAAATGGTGCACACGATTTATATTAAAAAACATTTTACAATGAATGGATAAAATGTATCTTTAAAAACAAACCGGTTTTTCAAAATATGTACATTGATAATAGCGTTGCGTTTTAAAAAGACATAATATTTATCTACTGATTAGAGCACTCAAACCTGGTTTACAATATAGGTGACTGTTTAGAGACACTCATCATTACAGGTAATATTAGCATGCCCCCCTGCGCAAGGACGACACGCAAAGCCGTGGAGCGCTCCATAATGCCCTGGTACGGCCGAGAGTGAGGAGAGTCAAATTGAGGGGACGAAAAGCAAATGTCCGGCAGCAGCTTAAACAGGGTTGGTGGATACGGAGAGTCCACCTAAAGGAGTTGGAAAACCCCCATTCCAAACCAATGGTGCATACGGGCTTCACGATCCTAAAGGAAAAAATGGCGTATGAACCAATCGTTGGTCACCGGCTACCAAGGGAATGCATCTCCTTACGTAGTTCCACTGCTTTGTGGATCAGACCTTTAGGTCGAAGGCCCCAGGTGTGGCCTCCTAAGAGAACCAACTGCTTCGGTTCGGGCACCCCGGCAGGATCCCAGTCGTGACATAGATCGAATGATTTATTAGGTGCCTCCTTGTACCAACATTTATATGTTCAAATAAATATAAAAAAATACCGTACAGCTAGGGATTATAGCCATTATGGCACAAATATAATCATTCTCTATCTTCCTACAGATTTTAAAAAGTAAATTCTCATTTAAAGAATTGAAAATATGTTCATCAAAATAAATTCAAAGGTTACGTATTTTGGAATTTGCCAAAAAGCTCAAGGTTATAATAGTCAGTTCAAACAATTCAAAATTAATTTCAATAGTTGATATCATCAGTCAATTGAAGCTAGACCACCATGGAAAATCTGGAAGCATTGGACGGACGTTCTGTCCAATTGTGGGATTCCTTAGCAGTGCATATCCAACACCTCATCGCCTCGTGGGATTCGAATCCACGACCTTTCAGTCTCGCATGCGAGTGCTTAACCTATAGACCACTGAGTCGGTATCCAAAATTAAATACCATTTTTTTTCAATAATTGAACTACATTCATCAGTAGTACTCTCATTTATAAATCGATAATTAATAAGAAAAACTTTCATCTATAACTAATCGTTATACAGGTACAATGAACATTTCCATTTGTTGCTAATTATTTACACTTGAAAAGAAATGAAAAAATGTTTTATTATTAGACCATCTGGTTGAACGGAAACACAAGTCAAACAAGAAGAACAATAACAACTAACAGCACTACTAATAAAAAAAAATGATACTATCTGTCTAAAGAGATAAGCATTTAACCTAATCCTCAATTTCAGCTGAGTCATTTAAGAGACAAAATCTACAATAGCCTATTTGTAGGACTGTAAATTTTGAGGTCAGACAAATATACAGTTATCCACAGAGGGAAATGAAGAGAAAAGGGAGGAAAATACAATGTACAATAACAATGATAGTTTACAAGAAAAAAAAAGCAATATCGATACGTGCATACACGGAGAACACATGAATCATTAAACTGGTGAAAACAATTGAAGAAGCTACAATCAAAATGTTGGATATATATATATATAATTCTTGTATACATGTGAGTATGAGGCTATGTGGACAGTTGGCGTATACAAGTATAAAGTCCTTACTATAAGACATATAAAAATGAAAACATGAAATGTGAAACTTTCGTTAACTACTTATTACATTTTCAGTAGTATATCTCTAGAGAAAATGAACTAAAAAAAATCTTATCAGAATAAATAACATGAAAATATGAGTAGGAAATTGTATTATCCCAATTTAGAGGAAGTATTTAATAACAACCGCAAGAATATCTACCATGATTATCAACTATGTGATGTTTGTTAACCATGTTTTATCTTAAAGTTATTTAGAAATATCTATTCAACAGGTAAGAAATTATCATTAGACTAGAAAGGGTTTTATGAATGAGCAACATAAAATGTCTATTTATTTAAACACATAAAAATTATAACAAGGAGGCACCAAATAGATATACGCCACATAAATCAGTCGATTTGTGTGAGGGTTGGGATACTACCCGGGTGCCCAAACCGAAGCGGGTGGTTTTGTTAAGGGGCTACACCTCAAGTCTTTAACCCTAAGTTTCGATCCACAAGGTAGTGCAGCAACTTCAAGAAGTGAATTACTATAGTGGTCGGTGACTAATAATAAGTTGATACGTCGTTTTTTTCCTTCCAGATATTGGAGCAGAAGTGCACCATTTGTTTGGAATCATGGTTTTCCAACTCCCCTAGGTGGAACTCTCCGTGTCCACTAACCCGGTTAAAGTGTCGGACATTCGCTTTTCGTTCTCTCAATTTCGTAAAAAACACTTTCTTGGCGAGAAGGTAGTGAGTAGGACTTCCCTGTCAGTAGTTGTATGCATGTGGTCATGTGAAATCAATTGGAGAGGTAGAGCTGACTCTCCTCACTCTCGTTCGTACCAAGATATTTGGGGGCCGTATAACAGATAACCAGTGTTCTGTAATTTTAACTATTCTTCTATCTGATGTCAGAAGGTGATGTGATATTTATTTCGAGTACTCTGAAAGAACAGTCTTTTTAATCTCTCAATTATAACTATAAGAGATAGTGAAAGGATACATAAAAAGTGTATACATAAGCGATAAGAGAAATTATTTAACAATGGAGAATAACCAATCAGAATAATAATAACAATCAAGTACACAATATAAAAGTGAATAAGTTAGATTAAAACTAATCGCTGATTAATATTCACAGCCTTAGTAACAGTATCCATAACAAATAATTTTAGGCACCAAATACTTTTTTTGTTTTATTTATACTTGGGGGGGGGGAGCAGATAATTTACTGTTTTGAACAATGAATATTTTTTTTTGCTAAAAATTTCTAAAGTTACTAATTAATATTATTTGAGAATAAGAACAATCTCATAAGCTTTGAAATAAATAATCATGATCTATATGGATCTAAATAGAAAGGATCAATTTTTTTTTTAATTAGAAAAAGGATGAACTGATAGAAATGTTAAAAGGATATTGAGATCTTAACACTTTTCTTCATTTAATAAACAAAGTGTATAAATCAATAGTATATAATAATTTATTTATTTACTTATTTTACAACATAGATATTGGTACAAGGAGGCACCAAATACATATGCGCCACACAAATCTCATTTGATATGTGTGAGGGCTGTGATACTGCCCGGGTGCCCAGACCGAAGCAGGTGATCTTCTTAGAAGGCCACACTAGGAGCCTTCGACCTGAAGGTCTGATCCACAAGGTAGTGGAGCATCGTGAGGAGATGCAGTCCCATATTAGCCGGTGACCAAAAATTGGTTCATACGCCATTTGTTCCCTCAGGATACTGTAGCCCATGTGCAACATTGGTTTGGAATCCGGTTAAAGCGCCGGACATTCGCTTTCCGTCCTCTCATTTTCGTAAACAACACCCCGAAACGAGAAGGCAGTGAGTAAGACTTGTCTGGCAGAGGCTGTATACGCGCGGCCGTGTGAGAGTATTTCGAGAGGGCGAGCGAACTCCCCACTCTCGGCCATGCCACGGCACTTGGGGGCATATCATAATAATAATGCTATTATCAAACATTTTTTATAAAGTTTTCACAGCTTAACATTAATAAATTATATATATAAGTACTGACAATGATAAGCTTACATAAAATCGTGAATGAAGTCGATTGCCAGGTTCAGCACAGTTATTAATTCCAACAGATCTAAATAGACCGTGCATATGTTTAACTGCAACCCCATGTGGATAAATCTGGTTTAAAAGAAATAGAAAACAAAATATAAAGTGTTGGATACAAAAATGTCATTTCGGTCAAGGTGATTTATAAGTGATATGTATGTAAATTTGTGCGTATGTATATGTGTACTGTTTAAGAATGAAACATTGTGTGACATTTATGATGAGAAAGGATAGTTTATTAATTTGTGAGATGATAGTGTGAAATTGTAAATAAGATCATACTGAATGGCTAGGATAGATAGTCCAAGTAGGATTAAGCATTTTATGGAACCCTTCAGCTACTCTCCTTTCTTTGTAATTGGAAAAGCCTTTTTGCAATATTTTGATATTTTTAAATTTGATTTGGTGGTCGTTGAAATTGGCATGGACTGCTATTGCCGATTTGATTTGAAGTTTATCGAATTCTACCGGATTGTTAGGAGGTTTATTTGTGTACCTAGTATGTTCTTTGGATTTAGTGAAGATTAAGAACAATTCTTCTTACATCATTCGAATTATATCTTATTGCTGATGTTTTCTTATCCTTCTTCCTTTCTTTGATGTTTTCGAATTTTTTTAATTTGCTGGTGTTTCGATGAATTTAAATAATGACGTTCTCTTTCTATAAACAGGTTAGAAATCGTGGTTTGTAATTTGGTAGAAAGAACTCCAAAGAATCTTGACACAACACAGAATTAAAGTATATTACAAAATAACGAACACACTTCGACGTACTATAGTTCGCTTAAAAAAATCCTTTTCATGTCCATACAGAACTGCGTCTACAAATTAGGTTGTATCGATTGCGATGCCTTCTATATTGGAGAGTCATCTCAAGAAATCCTGACTAAAGCCAAAGAACATACTAGGTACACAAATAAACCTCTTAACAATCCCGTAGAATTCGATAAACTTCAAATCAAATCGGCAATAGCAGTCCATGCCAATTTCAACGACCACCAAATCAAATTTAAAAATATCAAAATATTGCAAAAAGGCTTTTCCAATTACAACGAAAGGAGAGTAGCTGAAGCGTTCCATATAATGCTTAATCCTACTTCTCTCAATAGAAAGAGGGTCTTACTATACATCCTACTTGGACTATCTATCCTAGCCATTCAGTATGATCGTATTTACAATTTCACACTATCATATTACAAATTAATAAACTCTATCCTTTCTCATCATAAATGTCACACAATGTTTCATTCTTAAACAATACACACATACATACACACAAATTTACATACATATCACTTATAAATCACCTTGACCGAAATGACATGACATTAACTTAGTTAGACCTGTTCTTTAATTGATCACATATTATTATTCTTGCATTGTTCCGTTGTACTATTTACACTTGGATTAATTTTAATTTGGTTATTTATTCTCTGAAGAAGTGACTTATACTAAGTCACGAAACGTCAGAAAATCTAATTTTTCTACTCATTGAGGTATTACAAATCTATTATTTATTTATTTATAACAATCTACTTAATGCTCAATTTATTCGAAATTATCAAATTAAACCTTGGTAATGATACCTAATTTATCCTATTACATTTGATCGATAGAACTTATGCATTCAAAGTGATTGATTACATAACACTTTTCAGTATAATAGAATCCTTTTGATTGGATCAATTACTACTTAAAATCAAATATGTTATACAAATAATCGTACACAACAAGGGAAAAACTTTAATCTAATAGAAAAATGTAAGTCAGTCAGCTACAACGTAGGACCAGGCATATATATGCATCGAACCAAGTTGTTACACCTCATTAGCACAACAAGATCAACATCGGATTCATAAAGTAGTTAATTCAATGGTGGTAATATATATATACAAAAATGTAATACATACAAGCGACAAGTATTTCTAAACATAATGAGAAATTTATTTTTAATAATTCACATCATGGATCAATTGAAGCTAGACTACCATAGAAAACCTGCAAGTACTGGGAAGCCGTTTATTCCTAGTACGGGACTCCTTAGTAGTGCGCATCCAGCATCCCACTGCCTCGCGAGATTTCAACCCAGGACCTATCAGCCTCGCGCGCGAGCGCTTAACCACTAGACCACTGAACCAGCTGACATGCAACGGTATTAATGTGTAACTGCAACTAATCCACGCATCCACCATTGTTATCAGTGAGTTACTATCTCACAAAACACCCAGTTGAACTCCACTGATCACTGCTACTCACTAGAACTTCAGGAAATACCTCTTGAAGGCAGTCACTACTGAGAATATGTTTATTTTTGTTAACATTACAATCTACATATTATATAATCATTGAACCATGAATTAATTTATTTAAACAAAATTTTATTAATTTTGATTGACATAAGAAGGCATGGTGAAACGGAATTCATCATTATTAATTTACTGATTACTTCTATTGAGTATAAGTAGTAAATTTGATTGTCAATCAATAGAATTATAAGTAGTATAATATTAAATGATAAAAATCTAATATTGAAGAGATTAGTCGTAAAAATTTTTTTGTCTATAAAACTAAAGTAAGCTTTATGTGTATATATATATAATTATTGGTATAGAACTATGATTAAGGGAAAAGATAGCTCTCATCATGAATTGACTATAATTGGAAGATTATTAGCAATGAAATGAGATGATTACTATCATTTGATAAGAACTTAATTAGTCATATTGTTAAACTTCACTTCATTGACAATGTAGTCATACGCATGAATGAATATTATTAAAAAATTATGAATAATTCTCTTCTACTAATTGATATATTTCACACTGAGACTTATAAAAGAAGGGAAGAAAGAAACGACATAGCAACGAATCAATTATGTTATATTGTTGGAAAGTTTGAAGATTTCTTGCATTATCATTTCATACTTTGTGAATTATTACTATTCATAACTGTCAGGAAGGAGTATATACCTTATATATATATATAATATAAATATTAAAGTAATCTGATTATGAAAGCAGGAAATTTTAATATGGTACAGTCCTTCTAGAATAAATTGTTACATATATACAAACAGTAATTAGTGTGAAATGACAAATAATGGTTTTGTATGCACTGATATTAATTTCTATGAAACATTAGATTGTTAGAAAGATTCCGATATACAGATATTTGTCTCTGTATCTTCACAAGAAGCTATGGAATAATGTAGGTAGGCAACAGATGTTAATTAGTATAAATATCCAAATACAGGCTCCTAGGTTAGAATAATTTTTGTATGTATTAAGTTGTATGTTAGATGTGAGACATGTGATGTTTTAAGTGCTCCCAAATGCTCTGGTACGACCGAGGGTGGGGAGAGTCCACTCTCCCTCTCAAAATGCTCTCACACGGTCACGCGAATATATAGCCTCTGCCAGGGAAGTCCTATTCACTGCCTTCTCGTGGCGGGGTGTTGTTTACGAAGATAAGAGGATGAAAAGCGAGTATCCGGAGCTTTAACCGGACCCTAAACCAATAGTGCACATAGGCTCCAGGATCCTGTGGGAACAAATGGCGTATGAACCAATCGCTGGTCACAGGCTACCATGGAACTGCAACTCCCTACGATGTTCCACTACTTTGTGGGTCAGACCTTTAGGTCAAAGGTTCGGGATGTGGTCCCCTAAGAAAAATACCTGCTTCGGTTTGGGCACCCAGGCAGTATCACAGCCTTCACACATATCAAATGAGATTTGTGTGGCACATATGTATTTGGTGCCTCCTTGTACCAATATCTATGTGTTAAAATAAATAAATAAATGTTTTTAGTATCAAAGTGGATTTAGTCGATTGACAGACCGGAGGCAGTGAAAACAGAACTAAAGAGGTCAGAACACCTGCAGGCTCGAAAATTCGAAAGAGAAACAAGTATGATAGACGCTACTAACAGGATTGTTTGTGTGTAGTATGTAGCGGAATGTGGAGTCGATTGTACAACAATTGTCAGACAAAGTGAAGAACTTCAGTAAATCGAAAGGGTGACGTTGGCAGAACACTTGGAGATCAGACGAGAAGACAGCTCAAATGGCAAAGCACACCGAAAGATGCGAATACACGATTGAAGGCTATGTGTATGTGTTATATAAATACTTCGTAACATCTCACAGCAAATAAAAATTCATTAAATATTGTAATTAAGGCATTAAAAAGACAAGCTGAGAGAAAAAATTTCATTCTAATCAGTTCTTCATCAAGGTTCTACACTAATATATATGCATTATAAGTGAGTAGAAAGTCGATACAAATTAGACGGTGATAAGTCAGTTTAACAAAATTATAATCAGTATGGTGTTGTGGAAAATATTACGTTTCGTGATTGAGATCATGAACTGATTGATGTTAGACCACCATTGAAAACCTGGAAACACTGGACGGCATTGCTAAGGAGTTCCACAATAGGATGAAATGGCCGTTCAGTGTTTGAAGGTTTTCCATGATGGTCTATCTTCAATTGACTTATGATCTCAACTATTGAAATTACTATAATATCCACAAAAAATCCCTTCTGATATTACTTAAACCATAGAGTGCTAATATCGTGATGATGTGAAAGTATTCGGTGTGCATTTAAAAATAAAATTCCTCAAGTTTTCTTTTTGTTAAATTATCACTTTTAATCAGATTTTCCACCTTTTGACCCCTCTCGTTATGAACATCATATTACTCTGTCAGGTCGATAATCACATTCACACACACACATACAGAGAGAGAGAAAGTGGTGGTAAGGAAAGAATAAAGCACATAAATGTTTAAAAGAGGAATAATAAGTCAATCAGTAAATATTAAAAAACCCCAAGGGTTTTATACAGTAGAAATACAATAAGTATCAACGTACATATAAACTAAATACTGAATATGGGTGAGAAAAATTGTGAATAAAAAGAAATCTATTCATAATAACTGGATTTTGAATAAAAACAACATAAACTATTAATTTTATAGAAGATAAAATAGAAATATTGAATAGGACTAAGATTATTTATTGCTATATGGATTGTACATGCACACACACACACACAATAGGATAATAA